GATCCAAGCTTGATTGACTCGGATTGAACCGACTTACATATCATTAGGTCCGTCCCATCGAGCCAATCAGTTTGAATATAAGTTTGTTGAAATCGGAGCTCCGGATGACTCTTGATCAAAGTTTGAATGTTTCTTGTTAAAAAAACTGCATCGAGATTCGTGTCGAATGATGAAAATTTATTGGTGGTGTATCAGTTGCCCCCCTATTTTTGGGCGAGTCCAATTTCATCGTCCGAAAAAATCCAAATTTAGATATTTTTCATTTATTAATCTGTGCACAAATACACATAGATATAGTAAGTTTTTTATTATTTTCAAGAGTTAGTTTTAATTTTAGAGTTTGTAGAAATGTTAAAATAGTCTATGAATATGTTAAAATAAAGTTATTCTAGAGACATTCAGTTTCAATTTAAGAGTCATTCTCAAGATCACCCCCTATTGCCATCATGATAGGCTCACTCAGTTCTCCCATTCTCGTATGATGGTTTTCACTAGCACCATTTTTCTAACTTTGAACTGCTTAGTGTTCGAATGTGTAGTATATTAGTCGAAAATTAAAAGAAAAAGCAGAAGGTACTCTCACATTTAAGTACTCATTTTGTTATATATATATAAAAAAAACTTTAAGCAACCTGAGTAATTGGAAAATCTATTAAATTAGTTACCTAACACTATTTCGCACATGTACCCTAGATTTATCACCCTTTTTTCAAAAAAAAAATTTGTATGTACAATGTATATACAAACAACCAATCAGGCATTAGGTTGTACTCTACAGTATATTGTATCATGATTGGTTGTCGGTACGTACGTTGTAAGTCTCTTCTTCTTTTCTTCACCTGGTAGTCCTTTATCTATGCACTTATTTGTATGCATGCTTTACGCACGCAATATTTTCTCCTTTCGTTTCACCCGTCCTCTTCCGCTTATTCACTTGGTAATCATTCACGAAAAGAGCGTAGTGGCGTGCTCATTGTCAATCAAATATTCTTTTGCTCTTCCACGCCTCTAGCTCCATTCGGTTGTTTCATAACATTTGATGTGTTTATACATTTCTCAAAGTCAATTTATATGTTTCACATGCATTAAGCTCTCATTGATTTCTCATTTTGTGGCATTCGCTCGCCAAATGGTTTTAAGTTTTGTTTTCAACCTTAAAAACTTAAATTTGAAGTCTAAAAAACTTATAATTAATCAAAATATAGTATGTAAAAATTCAATAATTTGATAGCTAAAATATAATAAAAACCTTAATCTTATAAGTCAATTTGAACAAGTTTTTAGTTGAGAATGTCAATAATTAATTCATTAATCTCTATATTCTATTCATCAAAAATAAATTTAGTGAACTAATCATCATTGAGAAAGTGATTGTGAAGTCATGAATAGAATGGTAGTGATATTCAAAAACTATTTGATTAAAATATATATGTGATAAATTTACTTTCTAAGATAAAGAAAAAGGACTCCAACTACTAGCTTTCAAGAGAAAACCAATATCCTTTCAATTTCATTTTCCTTAAAGTTATATTTTCTTAATTTTTTTTTTTTTATATATATGAGCAAGTTTAATCATAAACATACACACTACATATGCATGTTCTTGAACTCAGAACCACTTGGTTAGAAGACTAATAGTCTAGTTGTAGTGGTTGCAGCGCTTTAAGAAATGTAGTTGCAAAGTTTTAGTAGAGAAAATAACTTCTTAGAAAGCAATGATGCGAATTATTAATAGATGTTTTTTTTTCCATAAAAAATATGAAGATAATTTTTTTCAGTCATCACACTTTAACATGTTATGTTGAAAAAACCAGTTTCCTACAACAGAAATTTCTAGAAAGCAACAAAAAAACAATCCCTCAAACAAAATTTTTGATGATCTTTCAACACTCAGAGCATGCGAAAAGCTATTTGAAATGGTCCTTAAACCCTCGACCAAAAGACTAAAGTGAATTGTATAAATTTTTAAATTTGAATTGAGCTTCGTAGAAACCATTAATAAAGAGAGAGAGAGAGAGGGAAGGCAAAAAACCTTTTTTCTTTTTTTTAACTTACAACAATGCTAAAAGAGCATGCTTTATGAATCCCCCTTGACTCCTTCTAGCTTTTATCTTTTGTCTTTAGTGATTATTATGGGGAGCCCATATACAAAAGAAAAGCAAAGAAGAGAACATGAAGCCTAAAAAAAGGCAGAGAAAGCATTCCTTCCAACTCCCTTTCTTTGTAGAAAGCAGTCTTCTTCTTTATTTTTTTTCTTATTTTCTTATCCCCCAAGTAAGTTCTCCAAAATAATTTCATAAAATCTCAGCAATATATATATATATATATATATATATATATATATATATATATATATATATGATTCTATAAATGACAATCAAAATATTATAAATATAAATTTTTCATGTTGCAGTCATAAAGGAGTTTCTCAAATAATGTCAATGAACATCCTAAAAAATTCTTATATTTCTATTACTCAAATGTTTCATCAAATCAACAACATTTTAAAAATTCTAATAAATAACTAAACTAAATATTGTTTATTATATCCTAACATGAAGAAAAATTATTACTTGCAGGTAATTGTTGTCCGGATACCGCTATGAATCTCACGACGATCCATCCAGATCGAACACTGCGGCCACATAATTTCTTCAACATGAACTGAAATTTCCTTCAATGTGATTTAGAGCTGCACCCAACTCCTCCAACACTACTCCCATTAAACGGAGCAAACTGAAGCTGACAAGGCATATGCAACAAAAACTTAACAGATAGAAATATGCCCACCCTCCATCTGGTCCTCGTTTGCCCATTGAGAGTGAAACTAATCTTCTCCTGCTTCAGAGCTATGTCCATCTCATCCATGGCTCCCTCATCAAGTGGAATCACCGAGGACTGAACAACATAATTCAGAGGCAAAGAACTGTTTTTTGCTACATCGAACGCGTCGGCTCGAAGCTGTGCTACCTCTATGTCATGGAACCTCAGGATAAATCCGGCGGCGGAGAAGACTGCATCAGCTTTGGCGTTGTGGTTCTCTGCTGCGATGGTGATGGCCATCTCGACCTCGAGCGAGCCCGTTTGATCGTAATTGAGCTTGTTTAAATGAGCATATGTGATATGAATGTAAGGAATTTTGGGTTGGTAGATCATGTAGATTGAGAAGATGATGATTCCGGCGATGATGACGAGGACGGCGAGCACGGCGCAGATGATGGCGACCAGCCATATGAGCGGGTTGGGGCGGTCTCTCCGCCGTGGATTTGGTCTTGGCATGAGGGAGATGGAGGAGGAGGGGGAGGAGGAGAAGACATTAGGGATTCCCTTTGGTTGGTTGTTTTATGTTTGAAGAGGTTCTAAGTGAGGTTTGGAGATGAGGAAGTTTGGTATCTTCTTTGCCTTGGAATGAATGTAATGGGGGTATTGGAAATGGTTTTCTAATGGGCGAAGGAAATACCAAACTTGAATTGGTTTGAGGAGTTTGTACTTGCATTTTCTTAGGATTAATGAGAAGGAATGTAGGTTGGGGGGAAGATGTTTTTTATTTGGTGAGGTGAACTTTGGTTGTGGATCTCCTTTTCTTCAATCAAAGTTCATCACTTTGGAAGATTTTTAGGGAGTTTCCTTATTGATGGTCTTTGATTGGGGTTGTGTGAGTTGCTTTTCGGTGAGCTTTTTGTAAAGGTGTTTGTAAGGACCATGATTAGATTATTATTAGAGTTAGTGTTTCAATTATTTTTATTAGGGTGTACTTTTACATATTGAAGTGTTTTTAAAAATGTTTAATTTATCATTAGACATGAATTTTTATGTGATTTTAGTAAGATACATTTCAAATTCGAGATCATTTGAGCCCTAATTTTAACTAGTTTATATGCAAGTTAAGCATCCCAACAAGACTAACTCAATGATGTCCAATTTGGGTCCAGATAAGCGCAAATCAACGACTTTAAGTTTGATAGTATTGACCACCAATCATAAGTCAATTTCAACCACCACTAACAATTGTTAAACCAAACTATGACTTCTACCATCAACTACTACATCTATAGCCAACTAGAACTATAATAGCCCCACCATGACTGTTGTAGTGAGACAATAATAAGTTATAATCCTAATTATCCTCATACAAGTATATTTGTTTGATTATTTTTAAGAAATTATGATTCCATCTTTTCTACTCCTCATGAAGAGTAAACAATTGTACTGATGATTATATATTAGATTATTTTAGCTAAATCTGACACCATGATTTTTTTGATTTTTTTCCATCTTTTATGATTTTTCCATAAATAATTTTGGTGTCTTCTCCCCAACTTTTCTTTTAGTCATATATGCGTTGGATCTTCATGTAATACTAAAAAGTTAAATTATCACTATAAAATTGTGAACTTTCAAGCACACAACACATACATACACCTAAAAAATTTTATGTATATACATATCTAGGATTTAAATTTTTATTTTATTCATATGTGTTAGCATGATATGATTGAAATACAAGGGAGTACTATATATATATATATATATATATATATGTAAAAAAAGAAAGATTAGTTGTGAAATATGCAAATAGATAAGAGTTGTGGACAGCATACGTAAATTTTATTTTTTTCATTATTTTTTGATAAATTGTATTTCGATACTATCCAAAAATTATTTAACTGTCGCATGGATTATTCGTATTATTGTATAATCGCCTCATTCTAGGACTTCAATCATTTAAATGTTGTGAATTGTGAGCCGCCCGCGTCCCCGCCGGCTATCTTCAACACCAGTCTCTCTTCTCCTCCTCCCGTCGCTTCCGCACTTAGAGCCGATACAGGAAGCTCAAGTGCGGAGGATTCGCTGCAATGGGAGGAGCTCATCGAGAAGGTTTTCAGTTTCTCATCGCATTATGTCCTTCTTGCACTGGTATCATGGTCTGACATATTTTTTTGCTGGCAGGGAATATACAAATGCAGGTTCTTAGCCTTCTTTGGAGTGCTGGGTTCTCTTATGGGATCTGTGCTTTGTTACCTAAAGGTGTGATTCCGGCTTTGTTAAATTTTTGGCATGGCCCCTTTGGATTTTGCGCGACAACTGTTTGACATTTGATCCCACTAAAGATTTGTAAAGGAGATGCGACTCAACAGCATGGTTGTATTGCAAATATGCCAGCTACAAATAATTTTGTTGAATAATAGGAATTAGACTTGATCATTCAATCATTTTGATTTGCTATAGGAATTGTTAGAATTGCTTCTTTATTGTGAAGCATGAATTATGTTTGAGTTGTTCTTACATTTGTATGGAGCACCTTAAGAGTTCATCATTTTTGTTCGAGGAGTATAAACTCTCTCAATTTCTTATCTTGAATGAGTTTTTCAACAAAATACGAGTTGTGGTATGATGTGTGTGGAAGGCCTCAAACTTATTCAAATTGCGAGCGTTCGACATGGAGCGCATTGGCAGCGGTTGCTTGAAATTAACACTCCTTAGTCATTGTTAGGATGATGAACACATTGAAGATAGTCATTTTGTAATTAACCATTGTTAGGACTTATTTGTGATTTTCAAGCATATTGTTTCTCATGATTAATTTAACTTATTATTTAAACATAATCTATGATGCAGGGATGTGTGCTTGTGATCAATTCCTTCGCAGATTACATTGGTAATGGTGGAAGAGTGATAGTAATGTTGGTTGAAGCCGTGGGTGAGTTTTTTGTTTACTTACTGTAATGAAAAGCTCAATTTGAATTTATTTCATGTTGAGAAACAATTTGTCCACTTTTACAATGTCTATTATCCGACAAGAGATATCAATAAACAGAATAATTATGGACCTTTTTAAGCTGCAATCTTCATTAACGGTTAGGTATAGCTCATATACCATAAATGGGACAAATGTTGGAGTAGAACTGAGCCCACGAGCGAAGTGGAGCTGAATGATCTGTCCAATCGGGGGAGTTTCATTATATGGGTTAGGGGTGCAAGGGCAACACCCCGCGGTTTGGTACAGAATTAATTTAAATAATTACATATTGTACTATAATGTTATATATATGT